CTTGGTTTAGTGTATTGGAATGCAATCACAGGCACTAGTATTTATTGCCAACTCAAAGTTTAGAAACAGTAAAACGATTGGCTTTAGGCTAAATGCAGTTTTGGAAATTTAGGCTCTATTTTATAATGGCAGTAAATTTTAAGAGGTAGCGCCCATTCAAAAAGCAACTTCTAACAGTGAAGAATGTGCCTAAAAATAACAATAAATCAAATGTGATTATGTGATAAGGCTGATGGTGAATGAGTGGATTTGGTAAACGGTAATACATATTTGTCGATAGTTAAGAAGCAATCATTTTATTAGCCACCGCAATGAACTCCTAGAGGTAGAGTGTAAAAGGGCTCGAGTGGCTCAGTCTGTTCGAGGTCAATAGCGACTAGAAGAGCTTTAGTGGCTGCCTCCGAACACCCGAGGACCGTACCCAAGAGTCGCCAGCCCTCGCTGTTAGTTGGATCAACTGCTAAAGAGTCACGCAACATACGTTCGGCAAGTGCACCCTCGCCATTTTGGTAGAGTAAGCAGCCCTGATTGAAGAAGGGTAAAAGAATAAGCGTTTAAATAAGTGTACAAACAACTTAGACGAATTAAGAGGGCGAGCTTAAGATATATCGATGTCTAACCAATAGGACCTATACATTATTAAATTGTATTTAGAAATGGCTTTTGAGTATATTTTTGGAGTAAGGGGTAATTTAAAATAATTATTGAACGGACTATCGTATATGGCTAAGGGGTCTACCAACAAACTTTGGTATTCTGGACCTATAAAAGTTTTACTCCCGCCCTAAAAATGTAGAAGACAAGATCAATACAGAGTGGTGCAATGAGAACCATTGAATCTAGGAACACTACTGAAAAAAATAACTAGAAGCTAAGGAAGGCCCATCCACACATATAAAATATCTTTCACAGCAAGATTAAGTGGTCCAGTTTTTAAAAAAGCCGGATATAAATTAAATTAAATGATACCAACTTCTCAATTAAATTTCTAGTAAATTTTTTGAATGCCGGGAATGATCATAAATTGAATCAATTTATTCATCTGTTTTCCAGATCCGTTTAAGAGCACAAGGATGCAAATCATTATCGGATTTCAGTATGAGCTTGCCAAGGAGAAGAGGCGTCGTGTGTGAGTATATAGACTGCGCCAACATGAATATCGTATAAAATCCAACCGGCTACAGTACAACGAGTTTTATCCGTCCTCATCTGGTGAGATCGACCAACGAATCTCTTCTTCATGCACTTTCA